CTTCCGAGTCCATAAAACGGGTCAAACCGGGGAGGGCGTCCGGCCGGGGAGGAGGGAGCGAGGAAGCGGGAACGCGTAATAATAGGAAAACACTGTGTCATGCCGCTCGGACCAGCCGGGACTACCGGCCTCTAACTTCGCGGCCCGGGCGTGGATCTTGGTAGTTCTCCCCGCAACTTAGAGAGGTATGGACCTACCGTCCTCATTGCATTGATGAGAAACAGGTTACGGGGCTGAGGAGCGCTGGGATTTAAACCTGCTCTCTGGTTCTGAAGCCCGTGTGCTTTCCACCACGCCCACAATTCCTCCGTCGGGCCTTGGTCCTGCCCCGTGGTTGGAAGGAGCTGGCTGCAGACCTGGCCGGGCCTGCCCCGTGGGCAGAGGGAACTGGCTGCAGACCTGGCTGAGCGCCGGTAGTGACAGTGACAAGTTTCTATGTCGGTAAAATCAGCGCAGGAATGAGACCTAAGGGAAATCTCTCCCGTGAGCGCGGTGTAATAATAGTCTGAACATCCCTTCCCCCTTATATAAAATAGGGCGGTGATTTTCAGCCTTGAATGCACATCTGTGGAAGGCTTGTTAAAGATCCAGATGTTCAGTCCCACCCAGACCTATTAAATCATAATTTCCCAGTCATTATCGTTGGAGGTTTCCTCCACCACTTAGAGCCCTTCCTGGCCAACAGTGACATAATGTGAAACCCTAAGTCACTGAAAGCAGTCTTGTGAGTATGTAGCTTCTGACGGTCTGAATTGGTTAAGGAGAAAGCTTAAATGACCCGGCATATTGCATGCTTCTTCGTGGAGACGTCCTTAGAATCGGGCTTCTGATAAGAATGTAACAGCAGAAAGTCTGATAGCTATGGCAGATGTGTTGCCCATAAAGAGAGATCTGTTCATGGGCACCAACTGAACAGAAATGCAACTAACTGCCTTCCCGTAGGAGGACTAGGAGCCCCACACAGGAAATGTACACGGAGGGGTGCCGAGGGAGACCCTGCAGGTGGGGCTGTAATTCTCCGCCGAGGAGTTTGGGGGTTTCCTCCAGAACACAGGCGAAGTAACTCTGGGAATGGGCTTCTCTTTCCTGCTAACTTTTAACTATATCCTTCCTTTTTTTAACCGTATTTATTTTCCTTAACCGTGTTTTAACTTGAGTGGATGAATATACATTTGTAAGAATTCTGCAGCCTAATCCCTTGGTTCTCTTTAGCTCATATGCAATCGCCATCACCCACCTTCATCCCATCGCTAAGGCAGACATTACATCTCTGAGCACAAATGAAGCTGCCAGTCTAACGAGGACCGTCCTTGTGTGGGCTGAACATCACTGTAGGAAGCACCTCTTAACATTTTATATTGTTCTTTTCTTTGGAATTGCTGTCTGGAGCTCTACATCTCTCAAGGCTTTATGAAGCATCTGTTTAGCATAAAGATAGCACTTACTCTCCAGGATTTTGATAGTATGTATACCGTAGGTTTATTTCTAATTATGTTTTTAAAATATGTAAAGTTCAGAATTCTGAAGATACCAATACAGAAAATATAATAGGCCTGAGGAGGAGGAATATGTGTAAGGAAAAAAGAAACTTTGACAGATCTTTACTGGGACTTCAGCCTTTCAGAGTGTGTGTATCCTCGCTTAGAACATGTGTAATGTCTGCCATTCTTCACTTCTAGTCAGATTCGTTTTTCAGGTTTTTCTGAAGACGTCACTCAAGATCCCTTTCTAAACTAAAAATGTTGAACAATGAAAATGGGCTTTTCTGAGTTTCCTTCCGAAGTCACTAGGGAGACCTGTTTCAGTAGGAATTAAAGAAACCTCGCTGAGAACCATCATTTGGTTTTTGGTTTTTTTTGTCAAACAGGCTCACTTTCCTGAACCTCCCTTTCCTGCCTTTCTAACCATGGTACACAGCAGCCTCTGAGCATCTCATGTCTTGGTGGAAGGGGAGGAGGTCCACTTTAATGAAAGTGACCTCTGTGACAAAATAACCATATCCATATGGCAATGCCTCGGTGTGCCAAGTCTGTATTCTTAGTCTGGATCCAGAATAGAGGCTCTTGAATTCAAACATTACTTTTGACACTTGATTGTTCTCAAAGTATTGGAAGGAGGAGGCCTGATAAGGGCTGACCGGGAGTTCCCCATGGTTTTAAAAGCATTCTGTGTTTGT